TTCCCTAATTAACAAAATGTTAGGTTAATGGTTAACATATTCTCAAATTAAAAAAAAATTATTATTCTTAAAACATCAGTTCTTACTAGTATGTGTATCTTTAAATTTTTTTCAGCAACAGTGATAACAATAGCAAGCAAGATAAATAAATACAAATGAGTAATAATCACACTTAGCTGCTTTCTTGCTCTGATTGCTAACTTTTAATACAACTTAATTATGATCTTGACTTTTTTCACAATCATGAAAAACACATACACATATTATTTTTTTCAAACACTTCTTTGTTTTTGAAATTGAATGTCAGTGTTTTGGGAACACAACAAGCATCACTACCCCTTCCAATTGCTTTGTTGCTCCAACAATTACCCCTTTCTTGAGACTGGCTACCAGAACTATGGTCCACCAACCAGCGACAGCTAATGAGTGTGTGGATGTGCTAGACATGATGCCTTGACCTCCACTTCCAACTTCATGAATCAAAATTTGCATTTTATCACAATTCCCAGGTGATTTGAGTGCACAATAATATCTGAGAAGCATTGCTCTAAACATATCCTATTTATTCCACCTTTGGAGATAGATGCTTTTTTATTTTTCTACCTGGTTGATTATCTCATTCCTTCTAAGTAGTCTCATGCAATTGTTTTTATTGTTCCTTCACCATTCAATGGTTCTTGTTTCCAAAATCATTTCACATAGTTATGTGTTCAGATTCTTTCTCTATGTTTTCACTTAGCCCTACCTCCTTTTCCTCTAACACTTAACTCCTGAGGAGTTGCTGCTTATGTGACTGGTCACATTATAATGCTCCCACACCTTAACTATATCAGTCATCTCCACTATGTCCATATTCTTGGTTGCCACAACCAAAAATTGAAGACATATTACCTTTTATGCTGCAGACTTATTTCATCAAACATTTGGAAGCTTCAAGGCATGTGTCCATACTCACCAGGAAAATGCTTTCTTCCTTCATGAGATGTCCTTAATAGCAGAAGTAGACCAGAATCAGGACAAATCAACTCTTGTGTTACAAAATACTCTGAAGTTACAGCTGCATTGACATGGTGCTCACTGAGGTAGAAATCACCAACACTGGGGGATTCCTAAAATTAAAGTACATTTAAGTCATATAGAAATTTAAATTATAATTGTGCAAATGTTGTCCTGTCCATGAAAGAGTCTTTAGGCTTAAAAAGATGTTCCTTAAAATAAAATATTGAATTGTGAATCCATCTCAAATACCAAATAAATAAGTGGCCAGAGAAGATAGTGTGATACCTCTCTCCTCCACCCTTGTCTACTCTTTATATACACTCCACCCTTCCTGAGTGGAATAGAGGAATGGCTCCCATAGGCACCAGGGTGATGGGCCAGAGCCAGCATCTCAGGATTTATCCTTGAGCCTCACTGATAATTATCAATGTCCTTTATAAGAAAGCAGTTCCTAAGTAAACATAATCTTCTGTTAGGATCTAATAAAAACTATAATTCTCTAGCCAGACAAATTAATAAGAGCACATAATGTCACATTTAATTTAGGGCATTCACAGTTATCCTACTGCCAATCTAAGGGTCCAGATTAGAAAGTACAAATCCAATACAGTTTCTTTAATACACTTATTGGAAAGAAAGAAAAAAATCTGGCTGTGGTGTTGCACATATCAGCTGGGATCTTCGCTCTATGCAAACCTCTGGAAAAACTTTTAGAATTGTTTTCCTTGATTGCATCTAACTTTAGAGGGGAAAGGAGTGAATTCATATTTCTGTCCCTCACATTCATCAATTCAGGTCTTATTGTTGGAACAGGTACCCATTGCTGAACTATTTGAAGACTCAGTCCAGATGATTTCTTTGTGTAGCCTCCTCAAGAGGTCTCATTAGCAAGCTATGTATGTAGAAATAACCTCCCCAGAGTTACATCTTTATAGCCACTCAAGAGATTCTTTTATTTCTCTACCTTCTCTCTTCTCTCTAAACAACGTGTTTCCCAAAAGATGTGTGAAGAAAACTGAAAACTCAAAGGCCAGCAGACATAGAAATGTCAGGACTTGGTTATGTGACATCTTCC